CCGAAAATGGAACCAAAAGATCTACGGGCGGAGAAAAAACGGGAAAACATTGAACCGTAAATATTTACCTATAAAAATTGTTTAAGCATTTTATGTTGGCGCAGCAGTTGCCATGACGGAATATATACGATATATATACAGACGATATATACGATATATATGAGATATATGGGGGAAAGGTTAAGGCGCAGACTGTACATGTATATATGCATTTTTTTGGTGCTACAAAATTAAATTAAACATTTTTTATGCCTCTCTTCGGTTCGGTTAGCTTTTGGGTTTCCTGGGCTCCACGGGCTTCCCGGGGAGCTACGTGGCTTGACAGGCGCCAGGCAAATAAATTTCTGTTTCGCTGGGCTGTGTATCGCATGACATATGCATCAAAGTGTGTGGCATGTGGCAGGGGCCGGCATGGGGGCGTGTGCGTATCACAGCTGCCTGTCGCAGCTGTCAATAAGTGGGCCGAGTCGACGTTAAAAATCAGGCATTAAAATATGCTGTTCATCCTTCCTATGCCCGCACCCCCCCTACCCCTCCGCTATGCTCGTTGTTAATGCGTTGCATAAGCCGTAGCTGAGAGTGTTGCCCCTTGCCCCTTGCATGGGGCAAGTAGATACAAAGTGCGATACAAAGAGCAAACTCTGCACCGTTTTGGCCATCGATATCGTACATCAGCCACGCCCCACACAAAGGCATGCCCTGCCCCAAAGTTTTGGCTTAATTTTAATTTGTTGCAAAGTTCAAAGGATGGGATGGGAGGACCCCCCCCCGAATGTGTACTTGCATAAATGCATATGTGTCTAGGGCAGAGGGTCGATCGGGAAGTTTGAGTGGATGAATGGATTATCCAATCGTTGGGACCATTACCAGACCATTCTTTGGGCGATGGCCTGGATTAAGGAGCAAATAGATCTCCCCCTACCGACTGATTCCCCTTGAAAATCTGCATTTCCTTGGCCAACCCTCGGCGGGTGAGGGCAGTTCCACTTGGATGTGTGGCCCTTGCCAGGGAAAACTTTTTAAATAGTTACACAAACTGCAAAACGCTTTTCATTTTGCGTTCTGGCCAGAGAAAACGGAGTTTCCAGCATTCTGCCCAAGCATTTGCCATTTCCATTGCACTTCGATTTCGGTTTGGCTGCACAGAAAAGTACACAGAACTTTTATGAAAGAAAATGAAATGAAAATCCTGATCCGAGTCCCCATTCCCCGCAGTCCCCCCCTTCGGCAACCCCAATCCCTCAAAGCTTTTCCAAGCTAAACAAATCTTTAGTTTTTGGCTTTAACTTTGTGGAAACAATTAAATGGAATTTAAAGTGAAAAAACACCAAAGAGAGAAAAGATTTCCGGGTCAGAATCCTTTAAGCAAACACTTCAGATCCAAGGAGCGGAAACTTTCCGAATTCCTGAAGCAATTAGCAGCTGCAGAGGATATGCTCGTACATTTCCACTGTGAAATCGAATCGGACAGCGGCACACTCATTAGGAATTAGGACCTCCCGCCATCCAGGCCGAAAGCGAAGCCGAAACCAAAACCGAATGTATTAATAAAATAATAATTAAATGTGTCAAAGTTTCCAAAGAGTAATTAATTATAATTATATAGACAAAACTTGACCAAATCACATCCACAAAGGCACCCACACATCCTCTGGAAATTCGAGACGGTTGCAGCCACAGTGAGGGCTCCTTCTGCAGGACCCTGCGCATGCATGAGACCCATCGAATGCTCGTCCAGGGCTTCCCTGTCCAGGCAAAACTTTCCTTATTGGCCCGCTCGCATTAAATGTTTAATGGGCTTGGGTGACAAAGCACCTGCTCGTGTAAGAACAACAAAATATGGGCGCCTTTGATGATGGCCAAAGGAAAAGTTGTACTCGAGTTGGTGTTGACCCAAACATGCCCTAGTTATGTCCGGGTTTCGAGGTAGTATCATAATTAATATGGTCAGCGGAGAGTAGGGAATGGGAGTCCATGCATTCAAGACTTTGGTGGGTAACCCCTGCCTTAGTACTCGGCTATAATCTATCTATATATAATCTCCACCAGTCGATGCTTAAATTACACTTGATTCAATCCTATTCATGCCACTCTCTCCCACATATCCTACAGGGTATTCCATCCCAATCAGCCACATACTTAGGGGCATGGACCTGAACCCGGAGCTGGCTGGAAAGTTTTGCTCAGTTTTGTTCTTTCGGGCTTGGGGGCTGGGTTTTGGGGTCACACCCAATCCATCAGTTAATAAAAATGTGACAAAATGAATCGTTAGCCAGAGAAACCGGGGGGCCAGAGTGTGAGTGGACAGGTGGATCCCGGAGGGAGAGCACATTGGAAAATAATAAATCATAGGGAACCCGTACAGAAGAACCGAACCGAAGCGAACCGAAACTTAAAGTCAGCCATAAAGTGCACCTGTGTGGCAGGATGCGTGTGTGGCTGCGAACAGCAGCTGGCAACAATTTGCTACGTGCCACCGATGCGATGCGATGCGCTTCCCTGTCAGCTATTGTCCCGGCCAAAAATGTGTAACAAAACTGAGGCGAGAGTCGAGAGAGAGTGTGGAGTGTGGAGAGTGCCTGCTCGTGTGTGTGGCAAATGAGTTTAATCACCTTCGAGATAGATGGAGAGGACGACATACAGTGAAACGTCGGTGAATGATAGTTCCTAGAGGCTCCTATTGCTCCCGATTTCTTTCCTCATGGAAGGACCGCACTGTACTTGCCTCCTTTCGCATCCTCCGAGGCGGTTGACACAGTTTCTGAAGGCGTTGCAATTGAAGTGTTGCTTAAACAAAAGCTAAAACTTAAATTGCTGTGAAATTGTCTGTGCCAAGATGCAGTCACTCCTCATCCTCCCGCCTTGTCCTCCTGAAAAATGGCAAACGTTTGCCATTTTTTTGTTGTTTTTTGCTGGTTAGTTGTTGGCGTGGCGGCGTGGCTGCTACTCAAGATGCAAGTTGCACAAACTCCAAAGGAGCCGGGGCAAGAGAGGGGGGCAGAGGGGGCTCTGTGGCGGCAACATTTATGGCGTCGGCAAACGTAGCTTAACTGCTCCAAGAGCCACTTGACGCAATGCTTTGACCAAGTAGCGGGTGAAAAGCCAAGCGCTTTGTGGCTGTCAAGTGGCTCCAGCTTCCCCTTCCCTTTTTTTTGGTGCTAGTCGTACTCGCTTCGACTCCACACATAAGTGCACTTGACACAGAGACTGCAACAAAGTTGCCTCTTGGATCGCCTCGGCAGTGGCAACAAATTGCAGTTTGGTTTGGCGAGAGGCAACGACTTTAACTGGTGACCTTGTGGGTTACTGTGGGTGGGCACTGTAGTACCTATGGAATAGAAAGATGTGGAATTTTTAGAGATTTCAGAGGACACTATAGGAAGAGTTCCTATTGAGTATCTTTACTATCCTATACTTCTCTACTAATTCTAATTATGTGCCAAATCATATACCACAGGACCACTTCAATGCCCTTCCAACCACAGTGCAGTGTGACAGTCCACTGCCAGAGACGACATCGAGGACGGGCACTGGACACTTTGTCAAAATGTTGCCCCATCCCTTTTGCTGTTTGCCAAATTAAATCTAAACCATTGGCCACAAAAGCGCAACATCTTACCAAACTGAACAGCAGGGCCGGCGAAGTAGGGGTAGTACAGTTGTGCTTGCAGACAACTATCGATTGGTGGTGGCCAAGGCACAGATGTAGCACACTTTGTGGCTGGATGGAAGTCAAAGAATGGTCGGCGGGAGGGGCGGGGAGGGGCAACGAAAGAAAAAATAAACTTTTGCTAATACAATAATAAAAAGTTACTACGTGCAGTGTTGCAAAGAGTAAGAAAGGCAGACAGAGGACGGGACGACAGTGGATGGGTTGGGTGTGGGGTGGGTTGAGAGCTAAAGCAAAATAATATAAAAAATTTAAGTGAAAACTTTTGCTCCAATCTCCAGCTCCAGCTCCTGCTTCTACTCCTGCCCCTCTCCCCGCCGCACACTCGTTAAGAAGTTGCAACAAAAGTTTTGCCCGACGTTAACCTTTAAGGTAAGCACTGACGAGAGGCGTGTCGGCTTAATGTTGCACGTTGGCCGCGACACTGATTAGATTTATCAGCGGCAACAGAATCAAGTTGCACATGACAGTGGCAAAGGAAGAGAATGAAAATGGGAGAGTTAGCTGCAACTTATGCAAAAACCCACTACAGCAAATCAAAATTCAATCAGACAGCGACTGAAGCCGCAACTGCCGCCGCCAGTGGCAGCATGGCATCGTGGCAGCAACAGTTGTCAATTGGCTGTGGCACAAGTGCTGCGGCGTATGCGTAATATGCAACAGTTTGCGGCGCTGATTGGTAGTGCAACATGACAGGACACAGCACGACATTTCAGTAATGAGTGGAAAACAAGTGGATGTCAGCGGATTAAGTTCGTTATTGGATTACGGAAGACACAGGAGAGCCGTTTCCTTTCCGGAACGGAAAGAATGGCAGGCCCCAAATCGAATTGGGGCACTTCCCATAGACCATTTCCATTTTCCCCTAAGCCCTTCGAGTCCTCCGAGGAGAATGTCCCTGCCTTCGTCTGCTGGCTGCTTGTTTTACAATATCTCACAAATATCACGCTTTCCAATCATAAATGAGCCATAAATAACACACTGCCACCCATGCGATACGCACACTCGAATACGAGTAGAACAAACAGGGGAAATGTGTGTGATTTGAGTGGACTTAGGGATACCCTATCCAAACGAGTCATAAAATAAAAGAAGTCCTAAAGAAAACCACAATTCATTGTAGGAAATTCTCATAATTCATCACGAGTTCATCTCTGACCTCGATCCTACTCTTCACCCACCTTCTCCCGCATTAATCATATCCATCAGACCCTATACCTCGTCCAGTGACAGCAACGGGAATGCATATAACGATACTTATGGCCAGGCCTCGTATAGTACCTACATTTATAGATGAGAAAGCTGGGGAACGTGCTAGGTTGCTGTATATCTATGACGCATCCCTCTCTTCGTCCTGCGAATACTCCTTCCTTCCTTTGCAATGTCCTTTGCTGTACAATGCCCTGTTCCTGGCAGACCTGCTTGTTGATCAAATTTAATCATATTACATATATTTCGCTCCTTACGGTCTGTTACCCCAATATGGCCCCAAGGTCTGGGGTACATGGATGATACGCCACAGTACGATGCTCTGATGCCGTGATGCTGCGATGCTGGAAGTATTTACTCTTGTTTACAGTTGCGCACCGCCGGCTGAAATGGGCAAAAATATCCAATTTGAAAATTAATGCCTTTAGGATATTATTCATAAAATTCGTGCATGCTTCAGGGGTAAGTCAGAGCGAAAGAAACAGAGAGCGGTATACCAGGGAACTAGCAGGAAAGAGAGAACAAAAATTGGTCGGAAAAAAGCAGAGCAGCAGCAGCTGATGCATGCCTTTGCTCTCTCCCTCCCACTCACTCCGCTCCTTCCACTCTTCATGTTTATGCATGTAGATTTGTATACCCTGTATATCATAGAATAGAATGGTAAATAAGAGCTACATATATCTACCAGAAACATAAACATTAAGTAATTAAATTAGAAGACATGGTTAGAGCACTTATATATAGTATATATGTATCTTTTCTACTCTACTTCCCTCATTGCAAGGGATTTGGCTAGATAGTTTCTGCGCAGTTCGAATAGGGTGTTTTATAGTCCTTCTTCCTTGTTTGGTTGCCCTTTGCCCTCTGCCCTATCTCACTGCTGTAATTGCCCTGCGGCATTTGGCGCGTTGAAGTTTTGCCAGAAACCGCAAAAGTTTATTGTGCGTTATAAATTAAATGCAACAAACCATTTGGACTGGCAATAAGAGAAAGCAGGAAGAAAGATCTAGAGAGAGAGAGAGTGAAAAAATATGGAGCGAATGCCATAATTCAATTTAAGGCATTTTCGGTAAATGCTCAAAAAAAAGAGCGATAAACGGATAGCAAGATTCGGAAGGAAGAGAGATTGCTCGGAAGCAAGTCTTTGGACTTTTCCACAACGACTGTCGCTTGTCAAAAAGAGTATCAGAGAGAGAGAGAGTTTCAGTGAACGTGTACGAGTCGGCTGATAGCAATATGGTTCAACGAAATCATTGGAAATTGCAGAGAAGAAGTTAGTCCAATGGTCTGAAACCTTACTGACTAAATGTTGGAATGCCTTCTATACGTTTCGGTAATCTATACAATATACTTATGCTATAATGCAGTTCTTACATTTTGTTGTACCTAGAAACGGAACACTTTTTACAAGTACATCCCACGCTGCAGACTCCATAATCTGCGTCTGGAGGGGCTTCACATTGTAGCCACTGGAAGCGGATCGGTTGTGTCGCTGGAACAAGGCACTGAGAATCGGACCTCATGGACGTCTACCACAGATGGTTGCTGTCATACTAGCCGACGCTGACGCTCTAATGCCGGGCAATGGGGTTACAAATCAGCTTTTTGGCTGCGTTGCTCCTGCCCGGTCAGCAGTCGATGAGCCAAGTTCCCAATTGAGATTGAGCCCAATTGAAAAGCCCACATCTCTTAGCAACAGACGAGACAGGATTGGTTGTTGCAGCTCCTAGGGGTAGAAGCAGCTTCTCTTAGGCCTTCTCTCACTGACCACTGAAAACTTTGTTCCGATGTTTTAGCAACCGCCGAACGGCCACTGAAGAGTGACGTCCTCGACTTAATTTGCGGACAATGCAGTTTCTGTAAGGGTAAGAAAGCTCAGGTAAATATCTCAGAAAACTTTTCAGCGATCACCACACTCCCTGTTCTGTTCTTGAACGCAGTTTAGATTTATTTTACAGCAGAATGTATCTGTAGTAAACACGAGAAACGTATCACATCGTCTACCACATAGTCCGCTCTTTCTAGAGCCACAATGATATGCCGATATGAATGCCCTTGTCGATATCACCGCCTTGTTGGAGCTCGCATCGGCCGTGGCCACGAATATCGTGTGGGCTCCTACATGGACAAGTTTTCTATCAAGTCGAATGCATCCCATAGGCTTGAGCAATTGAAGAAGAACATTTGAAGAGCATCACGAACGTGAAAGAATGGAAACTTCTCTATGAAATAGTATTGGAATAAATAAAAGTTATAATTGCAAAAATATAAAAATAGACTTACAAACGCACGCCTTGACCAGGTGAAACAATAAAACTGAGAGCGGTGCAAATCCGTTATTTCTATGCTCTCCTGCTTCTCTACATAATTGCTTTCTGTCCCACTCTCTCCTCAGCTCATTTTGCGAAAAAGAAAAACGAGACAACGGAACATTTTATATTTTTACACATGAAAAAAAAGAATTTATGCAAAAACAGTATGTTTATCTATGTACAATAAAAACACAATGCACATATACATACATATATCACACATTGCAGCATTTTTCCTTCAACGAACTGCACTTTTGTTGCCATTTTTCCTCCTTCTGCGCTCCCGCCAATGATCAAACACATTATCTTGCAATAAGACACGTATTTTTCACATTTCTATTTAATCAGTACATCAAACTTCACTTCAGGCACCAGCGCGACATTTTACCCGGCGGATTTTTCACCATTTTCCGCATTTTCGTGAATTTAAAAGCGGAGCTGTCTTAGGAACGCATGCTTTGACCGGCGGAAAAATTTGAGTGAGAGCGGTGCGAATGCAAATGCGTTGATTCTACTGCTACTCTTCCTACTTTGGTTTATGCTTATCTTTTCTTCTTGTCTTCATCCTCTGCTACTGAAAACAGAGATCAATTCATTTATTAAGTAACGTCACAAATAAAGATCAATTAAATTAAGTAATTTCGCTAGGCGCCGCACCTAAACCGCGCGCTGTAACTCTCTCATCAGTCTATTCATCTCACTCCCACTCAGATCACACAACCTCACTCTTTTCATTACCCTTTGCAATAGCAGTGAGAGAAGACAAGAAGTAGAGAAAAGGAAAAGCAAAAGCAAAAGCAAGAACAAATTATTCAAGGTGGTCTGCTCACTCTCTTTCGCGTCTTATATTACGCTCAGCACGACTGAGAGCGCTATGTCGCATGTTTGATGAGAGAGAGAGAGGAACGAAAAGAGATAGTCCCATAGCTGCTGACCACCTTGTATGATTTCATCATGGATAAGCAGTAGCAAAAGTAGCCAAAGAGTGAGTGGGAGAGAGAGAGCAATTAGGAATAGTTGCAGGAGCGCAAAGAATGAACAAGTTTGCATTCGCACCGCTCTTACTCAAATTTTTCACCGGCAAAGCGTGCGTTCGCGTTTCAATCCGTGAAAATCCGAGAAAATTATGAAAAATTCAACGGGTAAAGTGTCGCGTGGGTGTGTGAAGTGAAGCATAGTGCAAAGTGCAGTGGTGAAATGAAAATGTACAAAAAACTGTTTGTTTAGTGGAAGAAAATGTGTTTGTTCAAGGGCGGGGGCGCAAAAAGAGGCAAAATGGCAACAAAAATGCAGCTCAACGAAGGAAAAGTGAAGAAAAGTGCGGCAATGTGTGATAAATGTAAATGAGTTTGATACAAATGTAGATAAGCATATTGCTTTTGCATAAATTCTTTTTTTCGTGTGTAAATTTGTTATTGTTGCGTTGTCTCCCTTTTTTCGATTGATCTGTTCCAGCAATGTGTGTGTGTGTGTGCCTGCTTGAAAACGCGTCAAGTTTTGTCCCTTTCCCACTCCCTGATGTAATAGAGCAGTGAAGAAGAGAATCAAAAAGGAATGAGTGCTCTCATTCCAAGCGAAGTTCATGGGAGGGTGAGGCAATGCCAAAACTGCTGATCTGAGTGACTCTCTCTTGTTTATAGCCTTACCTTAAATTATGTGTGCTCTTATTAGAAATCACTTTGTGCGACAGACAATTGAATAATTTGCGGCTTAGTCTGAAATAAAATCAATAAAAATTAAGAATTCCGTCCGCTGGGAACAAATACAGACAAATCCTAAGCAAATAAAGCAGTGGGCTGTCAAGGTTGTATTCAGAATGAATGAACATGTGGGAGGGAGTGGGGTGGTGGAGTCAGCAGTTCGCATGGTTCGTAGTCAGGCGATATCAATAAGCGCAGAGGGGCATAAAATGTTGTCGGAAATGATTGCGGAAATTACACTAAAACGCAACCCGGGCGTCGCGTCCCGTCCCGTCCCGTCCGACGCATGTGACGCAACAATACGAAGTCATACGAGTATATAAGGGGGAAGGGGGAAGGGAAGGAGAAGCAGAGCCTGAGAGTGAAAGGTGGGCCGGAAAATTCCTCAACCAAAAGCCCAAGTAATGCAAATATTTTGTTTACCGCCTGTCTGCGTGGGAATTTCCCTCACTCTCGTCTTTATTTGTTACGGAATACTCTTGGAACAAAGAGTATTTTTAAAAAATGTGAGTGTATGGAGATTTGTATGAAGATATCCGACTGTTTAAGGTGTATAGACTTGCCCCCAAATACTTATACATTTGTATTCCTAATCAAATCAGAACCTTCAAAATCAAATCACTATTATATACCTTCTTTCTTGGAACCGATATATTTGTAAGGGTATTTAAAGCTTTGGCTACCCGAGCCATTTTTTCGTGTCCTGTTAAATTTAGCTTTGGATAAGCAGGAGTACAATACATAAGCAAAAAGGAGGGCTTTAAAATAAACCAAAATAAATATAAACCTTTTTCTTTGGAAGTGTGGAAGTGGCAGACACGAATCTGACAGGGAAATATGAAGAAAGTTTAATTGAATGATACTTACTTATATGGAGCTCTTTCGGCGCATTGAGACAAAGATGAGGAGGGACTGCGCTAGTAGTAGTGCGAGGGGCACACACAGCAAGCAGCATGCCTCATTTCATGCCACCCCCACCCACTGGCCTTTGGGGAATGTCGCTTAGTCCGGGCGATCGACTCTAGGCTCCGTGTCGGGGCGCTAATGTATTTTAGTCGCGTGTGCCACTCGGCTGCCCCCCAGGGAGGCAGGAACACGTCAACGCAAGAGGTGCACAGACGGAGGCGGCACGGGCCGTGGGATTAACAGGCGCTGTGCTAATTATACCCCCAAAGAGGGTTCCGTAGTGGCACCGAAAGGAGGCTGTTCCGATACTGTGGGGTGTACGCGGATATTTAATCCGTTTAAACGTTTGTTTTCTTTCCAACCTGAAGCCTGAAAGTATATTTAAACCTTTTGGCTTTGCTGTACCCGACATTTGCACCATTTTTTGGACTGCGTATTTGTTTGCCCTTTCGCACATCGAAAACATCTGCTGACCAACACACAAAAACCCAATTAATTGAATTTATCGCCACAGACAATAATTTTTGTAAAATTCATTGAATTTGCAATTTATAATTTTATGTAAAAACTCCATGTGCACTTTTTAATTGCCAAATATTTGCTGTGTGTGTACATAATTTGTTCTGCATTAACAGGAACAAAGCAGAGCCTCCCAGGTGGACGGGGGACGGTTCGGGAGGGGGGGTGCAAATAAAGTGGAAAATATTTGGAAAATGCAAATTAATTATGCTACACATGTATGTAAAGGACAGTGTATCAAGCAGTTAACACTATCCCATCTAAATTAACATTTGAACTTAAGATACCATCGATAAGACCTAACCGATATAACCAGACTTAACCGATGTTTAAAAGACCTAGCCGATAAGGGGTTATCGATATGGGAGTCGGTTGTTGGAAGTAGAAGCAGAAAGTTGAACAAAAAGTCGGAAGAACAGAATCATTAATTGCACATCTTAAATCAAACACTTTGTACTCTTTTTCGATCAAAACATTATTAATAACCGATACTTTAATATTAATCTTACATTTGGGGGCTCGTCCGCGTCGAATAAAGAGCTCAGAGTGTGTGAAAAAGAAAAACAGAAGAAAGCAGAAGCTGATGCAAGAAGAGGATTGTTGAAAAGTTGTTAAAGTTGTTGTTTGTAGCTACATGAAGTTGTAAAGTTGTTGTTGGTGGCTATAAACATTAAGTTGAACAATCAAAATTCTGTGAGCATAACAGTAGACACGGATTTTAATAAAAGATCAGTCGTTTAATTCGGTTGAAAAATTGTGAAATTCATTGTCGCGTCGCAGCGTCGCCTTGTCCGTGCGCAGTACATACATAAGCAGAAAAAACACGCACAGACACGTTGTGTGTGATACACACTTATAAACAGAAAAGACAAGCACTCGTCGGGTACACAGACACAAGTCGAAAAGAGCCGCAAAATGATGCAAACACCGCCGCCGTTGCACTGGAAAGAGAGAGAGAGAAGGAAGAAGCTGTACCAGGAACGTCGCGCCCGATTGCAATCGAGAGGGAAGATTTAGAAAATGCGGAAAAGAATACTGAGGACAAGATTGATCAAATGATAAAGTTGCTAAGTTTGAAAGTGCTTTGCGATGAGCAACGAGAAATGAAGATCGCTCCAGATAATTTTACAAAAGTTGTGAGCGATTGTGATGGAAAATCGGTTCCCATAGAAAAATGGTTTGAGATTTTCGAAAAAAATGCC